CTTCTTCCTTAATATCATTGGGATTACTATTAAGTCGTCGGGGGTGTTGCAACTGATTACTGGCACTCCATGATCTTAAAGCCACGTATGCCGGGCATAGGTCAACATGTCTATTAATAGATCTACTATCCGAGAGCCATGCCTCCCTAAGTAGGCGGCCCCCTTTGGTGTTGTCATTCGCCAGTATGCTAGCGCCACTGAAGTTGAACCTATGGCCCAGTTCTGCCGTGTGTGCCCATATCTGGGAGTAGCAATCTCCCCTTCTCACTGCTAACCTGTGTTCGTGGACCCTGGTCTTAATCCGTTTAGCAGTCTCCCCAACATAATTGCACTGGCAGTCCATGCAGTCAATCCTATAGACGGCTGCTGATCTTTCAGTGCTGGGGAGCGGGTCCTTGGGGCGCATTATAGCCGCCCGAAGTGTTTGGTTTGGTCTATGGGCCACCTGTATGTTATACGGTGCCAGGATCCTCGCTGTGGCTTCTGATACATTATGAATATAGGGGAGGGTAATACGTGTAGTTGCCTGGGGTATGGATTCCTGAGATGTAAGGTTGCCCCGGGGTCTAGATAGTTTACTGAACTGATTGATAAACTTTACCGGGTAACCATTACGTCTACACATTTGGAAGAGGTGGTTTCTCTCTTCCTTCTTGGCTCTGACGGTGCTGCAGTGTGTCTCCACCCGTTTAAATAAAGTCCTGACACAGCTGACTTTATGGGCCGTCGGATGATTACTCCCAAAGTGGAGAATCCTGTCCGTGCATGTTGGTTTTCGGTATACCCTGGTAACCAGACATCCATCCAGCTGGCGCTGCACTAATACATCCAGGAATGCCAAACTGCCCTGATCTTCCTCTTCCATGGTGAATTGGATGTCTGGGTATACCGAATTCAAAATGCCCATAAAGTCAGTCTTGTGTCGCTTCTTGATGACCGCAAACGTATCATCCACATAGCGGGCCCAGAATTTTGGTTGATACCGGGCCATCGCTATGTGTTCCAACTGTTGGAGTACTATCTCTGCAACCACACTGGAGATCGGCGACCCCATTGGTGTTCCTTTAATTTGTTCGTATATAGTGCCCTGGAAGGTGAAATAGGTGTTAAGGCATACTCCCATCAATTTTACAAGATCTTCCGTTTGAAGGGAGTCCTGGCACTGCTCATGGTCTCCTTGATTTAACCGGTCTCGTAGGACCGTGACCGCAAGTTCTTGCGGGATGGAAGTGAACAGAGAAACTACATCAAAGGAGACCATGAGCTCATCCTCTTCCACCCTCAGGGTCTTAATTCTATTGAGGAATTCCTCTGCCGATCTCACAGTGGTATTGCTGTTATTTGCCAAGTGGCTGATACGTACGCTCAGCCACTTGGCAAGTTCAGAGATAGGGGTACCCCTGAATGCTACAATGGGGCGGAGGGGGACATTAGGTTTATGTATTTTTGGTAAGCCGTAAAATCTGGCGAGCGCTGAGTCGCCAGGGCGTATTTTTCTTAATACCTCCTCCCCCATCCTCCCCTTACGTTTTAGGTCATCAAGAAGCCTGTTTGTACGGTTTCTCAACGTGGTGGAGGGATCTTTACTAACCACTCTGTAAGCAGCACCGTCCTGAAGTAAATCCAATACCTTACTCACATACACCTCTTTATCTAAGACAACAGTTGCCCTCCCCTTGTCGGCTGGAAGGATGACGATAGTGTCATCTTTCTTGAGTTGACTTAAGGCCACCCTTTCCTTTGCCGATACTGTTTGGCAGCGTCTATGGCTCATGACTAGGCTTGTAACCTGTTGTCTGACCACGTTCTTAGCTTCTTCCCCTGCCCCAGTGCGATGTAGGGCGGGCTCTAATGCTGCCACAAAGTCCAGCGTGTTCGCATCAGTGAGGTTATATCCTGTATCCCGTTGTAACATGGAGAGTTGTGGCTGGCTTAACACCCTTGAAGATAGGTTGTGCACCATTCCCCCCGGTAGGTTATTATTACCGGACTCACGTAACGAATTCAGTCTTTTCAGGAATGTCCCCGTCATATGCTGAGTCATCCGGGCCATAGTTTGCCGAATACGTTGGTCCAGCATCCTGAAATGCTGGTTACTCAGTTCTGTACTACAAAAGTCCCGATAGTCTTGGATCCATCTCTTTAGGTTCCGTATTCTCCTATGTTGGTCATTGACCAGCGCATATAACGTGCGCCGTTGGAATTGGCGAACTGCTTGCCGGCATTCCAAGGAGTCCACCGTTGGTCTTCTTCTTAATGAATTCGGCGTTAAATTCTCCTTAATACAACTATGAAGAAATGCTAGTTTGCAGTAGTTAGCTGAGACTCGCCGTGCGGATTTCTCCCATTTTCTGGCTCTGAGCAAAACTGCTCTGCTATATTCGCGATAAAGAAAGTTAAAAATATGAACCCTAGGGGTATTCATGGTAAAAAGATAAAATGAACACCAGGGTAATAAAACTGTAAAAGTTTTTAATTAATTAAAACTATAAAAGTTCAATTAAAAAGCGCCAAGCTTTTGCCGTCACCTGCCGGCATTCTCAGGGCTAGCGCGCCAGAGAATGAGAGAGTCCTTTATAGGCGTGTCAAGGTTTGCGCCCGGCTCCTTGATCTCGTTATCGGGCCTAATTGGTTCAATTGCGTACAGTTAACCTGTTCTTCCTTGTTCTTTTTGGTTACGTGTCTATCCTCATCCATCCTTATTTCTCTTAACCTTGGGGTGGATGGATGACAACTCCAGCTGTTTCGGTTGTCTTTATATTCTAACTTCCCCCCAGGTTCAGGTGGTAATACACATTCCACATTCCTTTCACAGCCATATCCTGTCAAGTTGTTCTTTTTAAAGTAACTTCCCCTTCTAATTCCAATACTTTCATTTTTAGTGCACTTGTCATCCGGGTGGTCCTGCCAGCTGTTAGGAGTCAAATACGACATGCGGGTGGCAGTCCGGGATGCGGATTGTTCAGCCGAATGAAGGGGCTGTTTCCTAATCACCGCTACACCCAGCTGTCTTGCGCGCATCCTACTTCGGGTACTCGGTCCGGGGGGGGAGCGGTAACCGGATCACGCTCCTTCTGGTTGCCACAATGCTCCTCTTCAGCTCTCCCTTTTTCTGCGTTGTTAATGTCCATGTGTATTCCATGGGAGTCTTCGGGATCGTCGGGCGGGGGGTGCGATGATTCGATCTCTCGCACCTCACCGCTCTCCGATCCTCTCTCCTCCTCTTCGGCAGTGCTCGGGAGTTCGTCATTGGTTGCGTCTTGTAATCTACTCCCCCTGGATCCGGTCATTCTGGCTGCGCGAAAGGGTCCTCTCCTCCTTTCCGGATCGATCACAACGTTTCTTTTAGTACGTAGGCGAGCTGTTACATTTGGCGATTCCCCCGCGCCTCCACCTGCTGTATCTTCCTTCGTCTCGTTCATACTGTCAGGGCTCCAGGTCCCACTTTCCAACCACACTGGAGATCGGCGACCCCATTGGTGTTCCTTTAATTTGTTCGTATATAGTGCCCTGGAAGGTGAAATAGGTGTTAAGGCATACTCCCATCAATTTTACAAGATCTTCCGTTTGAAGGGAGTCCTGGCACTGCTCATGGTCTCCTTGATTTAACCGGTCTCTTAGGACCGTGACCGCAAGTTCTTGCGGGATGGAAGTGAACAGAGAAACTACATCAAAGGAGACCATGAGCTCATCCTCTTCCACCCTCAGGGTCTTAATTCTATTGAGGAATTCCTAATTCTATTGAGGGTGGAAACTGGGACCTGGAGCCCTGACAGTATGAACGAGACGAAGGAAGATACAGCAGGTGGAGGCGCGGGGGAATCGCCAAATGTAACAGCTCGCCTACGTACTAAAAGAAACGTTGTGATCGATCCGGAAAGGAGGAGAGGACCCTTTCGCGCAGCCAGAATGACCGGATCCAGGGGGAGTAGATTACAAGACGCAACCAATGACGAACTCCCGAGCACTGCCGAAGAGGAGGAGAGAGGATCGGAGAGCGGTGAGGTGCGAGAGATCGAATCATCGCACCCCCCGCCCGACGATCCCGAAGACTCCCATGGACTACACATGGACATTAACAACGCAGAAAAAGGGAGAGCTGAAGAGGAGCATTATGACAACCAGAAGGAGCGTGATCCGGTTACCGCCCCCCCCCCCCCAGGACCGAGTACCTGAAGTAGGACGCGCGCAAGACAGCTGGGTATAGCGATGATTAGGAAACAGCCCCTTCACCCGGCTGAACAATCCGCACCCTGGACTGCCACCCGCATGTCGTATTTGACTCTTAACAGCTCGCAGGACCACCCGGATGACAAGTGCACTACAAATGAAAGTATTGGAATCAGAAGGGGAAGTTACTTTAAAAAGAACAACTTGACAGGATATGGCTGTGAAAGGAATGTGGAATGTGTATTACCACCTGAACCTGGGGGGAAGTTAGAATATAAAGACAACCGAAACAGCTGGAGTTGTCATCCATCCACCCCAAGGTTAAGAGAAATAAGGATGGATGAGGATAGACACGTAACCAAAAAGAACAAGGAAGAACAGGTTAACTGTACGCAATTGAATCAATCAGGCCCGATAACGAGATCAAGGAGCCGGGCGCAAACCTTGACACGCCTATAAAGGACTCTCTCATTCTCTGGCGCGCTAGCCCTGAGGATGCCGGCAGGTGACGGCGAAAGCTTGGCGCTTTTTAATTGAACTTTTATAGTTTTAATTAATTAAAAACTTTTACAGTTTTATTACCCTGGTGTTCATTTTATGTTTTTACCATGAATACCCCCAGGGTTCATATTTTTAACTTTCTTTATTATATATATATATATATATATATATATATATATATATATATATATATACACACACATACATACAGATACATACATACATACACATACATACACATACACACACATACACATACACACATACATACATACACAGTTTGATCATACTTTACTTGATTTTAAAAATTTAATCCTTTTTGTCTTCAGAATTGTAGCAGCCAGTTGTGTACTGTCGTCCACTGCCAAGTGGGAACACTGGAGAGGGACCATGGAGCTATGGTGACTATTCATTCAGTACTGTGGCTGCCACATTTCCAGGAGGTAAGAAATCATAATTTAATAGGTATAGGCCAGTTTATATACCTTCTGGAAAGGTCTGCTCTGCTAAATCAAAGCCTTGCTAAAAAAGGTATCCAACTAGCTTACCAAGGGACTATAGGTATGTTGTATTGAAATTATAAACACAGTTTACTCAATGTGTTGTCAGAATGCTGAAACGTTGTGGTATTCAAGAGGATAGGTACTTGTCTCATAGAACTGACAATGGAACATTCAGTGAAGGATCAACAGAAAAAAAAAGAGGCAGTGGGGTAAATGGAGAAACAATGGGATGGTTTGGGTTCTACATATATCCTGTTAAGAGGCCATGGGAACTAGAGAGCTGTGCCCAAGTCTTTAAGGAAAAGAGGCCCAAGGAAGGATCTGAAGCAAATTTTAAAAAAGGCACCCAGATCCAAGCATAAGAGATAGCAAGTGAGAAAGAGTAGCATTGCATGAATAAACAGAAGCCCTTTGAATAATGAAAGCTCTGGAGCTGAAAGAATAATAATCATAGGACAAGATGTACTGGTAGATGAACACAGAGCATTGTAAGTGCAATATATTGCTTTGATTAAAGGGCTGAAGTAGGACTGAAAATAAATTAGGCAGAACTCCCCAGTTATTCCGTAACTAATCTTGAGTCAGTCATTGTCTTGTAGCTTAACCTACCATATAAGATTGTTATTGTTTTATATCACATTAGGCTACTGCAATTGATGTGTTAGATCTCAGAGCAGGTGACAAGCCAGCAGATGATCCACAAAGCAGCAAATGTTTATAGTCTCTTTCTGCCTTCTCCCACTCCACATATTAATGAGTCCCCCCTGCTATTTCCTTCTTACACAACAGCTTCCAAAGCACCTTCTTATCCAATCCCAGGCCCAGTTTATTGCCACAGGGATGCCTTACAACATTCAACCAGAGGTTCTACCCAGTGGGGCTGCCCTGGTAAGTCCAGGATTATCAGCACTATTGGCAAATGTGAAGTTTTCTATCAATGCCAACATTTTTTCAACAGGATTTGAATTTTGGCTTAGAAAATCAAAATATTTTTTGAATCATAGCATTTATTAATTTCATAAATTCAATGCTAAATATCAGTCTGCCTGGTTTGAGTCTTTTCTTCCTTTTCCCTCTCTATAATCTATATATATTGTAACTTGAATACTGAAACTGCTCGATATGGACTGAACGTTAATAGAACATTTTCCTGAATCATTTCCATTTTAGAAATTTAGAGCACTACCTTATTCATTCCTGGATAGTTCTGGAAAGTTGCTGACACCTGAAGAATTACATAGTATTGTGTCATATGGATAACTATTCTAGTTAATAACCTGAGATTATCAATGGTCCTTTATACACATGTGTAGCCCTTTGTCCTTCTCTTAATGATCTCAAACCACGAAGACCCTGATTAGCCATTTTGTTTCCCACTTAATCTGACTTGGGCAAGTATATTTTCTAAAACTTGAGGATTTGATAGATTTGCTATATTAGGAATACCTTTATTCTAAAGTTTCAGTCATGTTTTTGGAGACTTCCTGGCTTTACAAAGGGGAAGTAAATAAGATTATTTGTAGAGGCAAAACAATACTTCATATTTCATTTTCCTAAACCAAGATATGATTGGCAGAGTGACTAATAACAATTTAGCAAAATCTTCCCTTCAAAACATAACTGCAGCTCCATCTTTTACCAGCCTTGCAAGTATGGGTTGGGAATGACAATCATTATTTTGTTATTTCTTCTTGGCTATAATATCAACCTGTTAATTCATCTAGTTTTCTTTCTCCCATCTCTTTCCTGCTGCTCATAGGCTAAAACATTAGTCGAATGGGTGAACCCTGATGCCGAGAGAGACATCCCTGTATGGTGGATCATAACAGCTGTGTCGGTGGGACTTCTCCTCCTTGCAGTCTCCGTTATTGTTCTTTGGAAGGTACATGAAACCCTGGGCAGGGAAGCCTGACCTGTATAAAGCACAGGATGCAAAAGTCCAAGCACATGTTCCTCTTCATGCTGTCCTGGAGAGAGAACCAGGGTCTGCTTTTTGGAGGCAAGGTAGCCAGGGATACATCATATAATCTGGAGAACATAGCGGATGAACACTCTGATGTCTGCTGGTTGTATAAGCTTATCTGTAAACAACAGAAAATAAAAAACAATGTCTAAGTAAAGTTAAGGATGGTAACAAAATTATAAACATCCTGTCCTGGGACTGGCCCCTCTGACTGCCAATTCCAACCTAATTTTGGAATAGAAAATGCTTTGATGGATCTGAGCAAATGATCAAACAGATTATTTTCCTTCTGATCTTTAAAATGAATAAATAGTTGACAGTTTGAGATTACTTAGACAGTTAGTAGGTGGAAGGTACCCTAGCTTCGCTTCTGGGCTCTTCAGTTAATATGCTAAATAAATACATAGCTTTGTGTGGTATATTTTAACCATGTCAGAAGCATCCACCTATGAGAAACTATTTCACACCTAAAGTGACTTGTTTCTTATTCACTCTATTTTTCCCACTTTCTTTCCTTCATTAGACAGGCTTTTTCAAGAGAAAGCGACCACCCACCGAGAATGAAGAGCAGCTAACTCATGATTCTGGAGTTCAGTCAGCTGGAGAGGGGCAATAGAGTATTCTATTCCTCCCATATCTAATCTCATTATTGAATGGATCCATTCCTTTCCTGCTCATATTCTCTAGTGTTCAGATACCAGCAACAGGCAGTTTGTAGAGAATGTAATTTACTCACTCTCTGGAGGTGCAAGTCACATTTTTGTCAGCTCCTCCATTTCAGAAATCATGTCCTGGCTGCAAAGCTTTGTTATAAACTCACCAAGTGGATTACCAATTGCAGATTCAAAAACTCATCTATTTATAATAATAAATAGATAATGGAAGATAATGTTATAAAAATTCAATGCTTTAAAGAATCCTTCACAACCTAACTTAAAAATAAATGTTTTGCTTATTAAAGGGAGAGTCAGTGGGTATAAAAAAAATTGCCTAATGTATTAAATACACATGAAAATTGTCTGATTCCATCAACCTTCTTGCAGCTAGGAAAATTCTAATTTTCTTTTAAATAATATTTTTGTATAGTGTACTTTGTTCCTTTTTATATTAGTTCTCTTTATTATATAAATCTGTTGCAGACTGTAGTATTCCTTAATTAAGGTATAAACACTCTTGTAAAAAATCTGTGGGCTGATCTGAGACACTATTAATCATTTCTCATTCATAACTGATCGGTTTCCAGGTACAATTCCTTCCCAATATTAAAAAAAGAGTAAACATTAATAATTTTTATACTAACAATATTGGCTTCTTTGACTCTTTGTGGTCCATGGGGAAGTCAGGTGATGTTGATGCTCAGAGATGACTTCTGGGATTACAAACATCACCCCAGCAATGTCTAGTCCAATAGAGATTAAAGTCATTTTGGGTCTGTTCCAAAGCTGAAGATGTAGACAAGAGAAGTCTGCTGAATCTGTTCCCTCAGGCATCTTGTTTCCCCCGGGGACTGCTGAACTCAACAACTGGTTATACAAGACATGAAACATATTCTTCTGATTTATAAAATACTTTGCCCTTCAATCAACAAAAGCTACAATTTAGATTCTTTAAAGGTGTATTTTGGTATTGTAGCACAACAGCTATAATGTTTTGAAAAAAACTGCAAGTCATGTAGAGACTTCTTCAAAAGTTTTTATTTATTGCCTTCTATCAATATCATGTAGTTCTTTGCGCAGTAGTTGGGAGCTATTAATTTGTGACTAAAGCTTGTTTTCTTCATTGTCCCAATTAGTTAATTAAAACTGGAACATTTCTTTTGAAGGAAAAACTATATGCAAATAAGCAGTGATCTCTCTCTCCCCCTCCCCCCTTTCTTTTCTGGGAAATTTTTGAAAACACATTTTTTATTATTCAGAGCATGTAAGAGGCAAACCATGTGATTGCTGAAGTTAATATTCAAGACATCAGCACCTTGAAATGGGAAGGAGGGGGATAGGGAGAATGTACATGGTTATCATCTAAAGCCAACTGGAGCTTTTGTTCTTCAGAAGTACAACATTGTTCAGATGATAGATATTTTGAAGAATCCTTGGATTTGGTCTGAACAGGGAAGGATTTTCACTTTCTAACTAAACTTTGATATAGCAGTTTCTCACTTAAGAGCCTTCAACTGATGCACAGAAACACATGGACATGATTTCAGCAATTAGCAGTTTTTAAAGGAAAAGTAGCTTTGGGAGAAGTGCCTGAAAAAGAGCAACAATATAGACCACCGATAACTCTTTCCTTCCCACTTTCATTTCCTTTATGGGTACTTTTTGCCCATGTTCCTGATATATACTTCCAAGGGAAACAGATTTTGGGATGCTGCAGGAACGAAAGCAACTCTACTGCTGAGAGACTTCTGTTGTGGTGGTATAGAAACACATCCAGCCATACTAGGCAAGAGAAAACCATCAGAAAGGCTTTTTTATTTTAAAAACATGCCTGCTGGCATACTGATTGTATACAACGGCATAATTGAATTCAAGGTTGGGAAGAGTCCCTCTCCACTCAAGTTCAGGAACTTTCCTTACCCCAAGGCATCCTGAAAGCACTCAAGAGTCTTTAGGAAGCATTTCAGCAAGCTACAAGTTTGGATTTAAAATGCTAACATTTGGATCAGTTTTTTTTTTTTTCAAACCTGACAACTTTCGAGGATCTAGGGCAGGGGTGTCAAATTCGCAATGTCATGTTACGTGTGACTTTTTTTCCATTGCCGGCAACGGGGTGGGTGCAGTTTCGCCATGATGTATCCGACCCGTGAGTTTGACACCCCTGATCTAGGGAGTTCAGTTCCCCAGCATGCTGGCTTGGGAATTCTAGAACTTAAAGTCTACACACATAAAGTACCATAGATCAGTGTTTGAAAAACACTGATCTATAAAAAAATTCCACTGAAATCAATAATCACTGGGTTTGCCCCTAAATATTATATGATTAAATCTGGTCCAACCATTATATTAAATTTATTATATTTTTATCCATAGTGCCAACAGGCATCTTTATATTTTATCCATAGTGCCAACAGGCATCTTTCTACAGTTATTTTTATTCAGGAAGAATTAATTTCCTAGCTGATAATATGTTTGCGTTTCCAGAATTCCATTAAAAAAAGTTTTATTCATTTCCTTGTTGTAAACTCCCTGTCCCACAATTGGGCAGTTTGTAAAGTTTACAAATAATTTTTAATATAATTGTATTTAAAGTTTTAAAAACAAAAATAAAAACTACTACAAACTAATATACAGTGAGGAAGAAAAAAAGAAATCAAAGATAGCTAAAAATGCAAGGAAGGAAGAAAAAGAAAAATAGGGGAAAAAAAGGGGCAAAGAAGTGGCATCGTCTTTACACCAGCCGTAAGTACAATGATAAATTTACCTCTCAATAGTAACTGAGATACCTCCTTAATTCACAGAAATATAATAAGGAGGAGAGGTACAACATAATCCTATTTGCAAGATACTTTGGTCATAACCATAATCAATAAAAGTAGTTTTAGCCTTCCTATAGAGTTGATTTCTTGCGCTGGTCTGTCTCATTGGGCTGAACAATCCTACCCTAAGTCATCAGTGAGAGCCACCCCTATGATTTCAATCTAGGATGCAGCCTGAAATCCTGTCTGCCAAATAATCCAGTGTTATTTGTAACTGCTGTCCTATTACCTTTTCATCATCTTCCATAGCTGATAGAGATAGGGCAGTAGTTGTCTACAAATGTTGAATCCAAGGAGACCTCTCTTAAGATTGCTGGTTTGGCATCTCCTCCTCCTCCTGCAAGTATGTGTTGACTGCAGCTCGAATCCAACTCCTTGTTCCCTTTCTGGACAAGGCTATGGGAAAGATTCCAAGGCAGGCTCAGATTGATGACAAACCAGCTCATGCCTTCCCTAGGATCATCTGGAACCATCCAACCATTGCTTCACCCCATAACCATGCAGGAAGGCCCAGAAGGGCAAATACAAATTACATCAGACTAGTATTTTGGATACTAGAGCTTGTGAAGAATTTCAGAGTCGGGAAACATTATAGTCTATGGTATTTTACATTATTTTACATGTGCAAAAGATTGTTCATTGCTCATTGTTTCAGGAGGATGCCTATTCACTTCTGTGGCTTTCTTTTTCCCATTCGCTTCCTATTAATCTGAACAAAACTTAATCGGAATAGCAGCCATGTTTTGCACATGCTCAGAGACACATTTTTGGAGCGTTGCTGATAGGAGATGCGCCTCCTTACGTGCCTCAGGACCCCAGGTCGATATTGATCACAGTTTCTAGGTGAGGTAAGACAAGGGCGGAGCGTTGGAAAAGAAATAGGCGGCAGCCGCAGCTGCAAGACCGAGACGATCGCGGTGCTCGTTCGCCCAGTAGGTGGAGCCGTTAGAGCTCCCCCAATCTTGTCGCTGGACAGGAGGGGCTGCCGGACTGGGGTAGCATTGCAGCGCCGCCTCTGCTGTCGCCGGCGCATAACCGGATCCTGCAGAGCCAGCTCGGTTGCTACCAAAGGTTCTCTGGACGCGCCATGGCCGGGTAGCAGGAGCCGGTGGGGGTGGCCAGAATGCTGCGGGCGCTGACTGTGACGATGCGCTTCGCCATCCTCTTATCGCTGCTCTTCGGCCCCGGCTGGTCAGCTTTGGGCAAGACGCAGCCGGGGGAGCCTCCCAGCCCGCAGGGTAAGTGGCTGCGAGACTAGCGGGGAAAAGCTCACGGTGGAGAGAGTGGGGGTTGTCGAGGCCCCGCTCGTTTTCCGCGGCTGGGGTGGGTGGGGCAGTTTGGAGAGATGGATGCAGTGCCTTAAAATGCTTCGGGTGGAGAAAGCCTGGAGTCTGAAATTGTCGCCTTCCTGTCCCTTCCCGCTCTCGGTCAAGGTGAATCGCGCCGGGGTGGGGGCAGATCTACGTCCTTTTATTCTTGCCGTTTTTTGAGCGTTTCGACTTTCATTGCAAGAAATCAGATGGGGAAGATTGGAAGAGGTTGTACAGAACGAAGGAGATGCGACGCACGAAAAGGGGAAGGAAAGAAAACGGATAGGTCCACGCTTTTTTTTTAATCACGCGTCTTCCACCCTGAATCCCGCCTTTCTTGATATTGGAAGCCGCATTGTCTTCTCCCCTTGGAGGGCGCCCCTCCCGGACAAAGAAAGTCAAAATGGGGCAGGAATCAACCAGCTGCTTACTGGGGGGGGGGGGGATCTTGATTGGGTACCCTTGTATGGCTGCAATCTGCATCTCCCAGGCATGGAGTGAGAGGGGAGACGAGGAAGAGGAGGACTACATATATTAAGGGTAGGGTAAATCTCCGATATTATCGCTCAGCCATAGTAGCAATCCCCCTGCCCATCTCTCTTCTCCTCCTTTTCTCCTCCCCCACTTTACCCGTCCATCTCCTTACATGGCAATCTTGATTCCCCCTACCCACACAGCCACAGCTAGAGTCTTTTCCTCCAGGGTCTTTTCCTCCTATTTCCTTCCCCAGGGCTTTGTCTGCCTTTCTGTCCTTTTCTCTAACAGATGTGCCCCTTTTCTTCTCCTGCTTTTCTTATCCAGCCTTCTTCCTTCCAGATTCCTACTTGGTCCACACCCATTCTTTCTCTATATATCCTCTCTGACCTCTGTTGCTGTACCTGTTGACGCTCCAGCATTCTCTTTGTTTGTCTTCAGTAGTTTTTATAGAGCTACACACATTCTTGTGTATATTGTCCTCAGATGTGTCAGCTTTTTCACCGAGTCTTTATTGTCTGAAATAAATGTGACATGTCTGATTTGTGGCATTCAAACACAGATGTAGGTTGAAGCTATCAGCTTAATTTAAATTTTAGTTATTTATCTTACATTCTTCTCTCCACCCCTATTTGATAGCCTATTTTTCCAAATGGCACGATAACTTAATTATGGGTCCCTGCCTTAATTATGGGTCCTTCTTTGCACCATATACATCCATCAAGGGAACCTCACTTGGAATATGGCATGTGCCCTTGAGTCTCTGTGACCACTTATGGAATAGTACCTAAAGGGAAGCATCCTCTCCCTGCTGGTGAGAAATGGCAGCCAATGAAAGTCCTAGGAGGAGTGTCCCCGAATGAGTTTGAAAATCAGAAGAGTCTGGCTACACCATATGAGTATATGTTGCTTTTGTGTAGTTGCATCTCATTTGATTTCAGTGGCCTTCCATACACTTGTTGTTTATGTCTTGGGTTTACATGGCAGAACACAGACAGAGATTCTGTTTATTCTGGCTGGTGAACTGCATATTTTTGTAAATG